CACAGGAGAAGCCTGCCTGCCGTCACCTTAATCAAGAAGTGAAAATTAACGCCATCTATAACGGGACCAACCAAAATCATTGTGTCTTCTGATAGGATGCAATAAGAATACTGTCACTTCTCTGATTTTCCTACTGAAGATACAATCTGAAGCCAATCATGGAAAACATCAGACAAAACCAAATTGAGGACCCAAGCTAAAGGACATTCTACAAATTAACTGGACTATAATATTCAAAAGTGTCAAGGTTATTAAAATTAAAGAAAGATTGAAGAAGACTTAACAGATACAACTAAACACATATGATTCTGAATTGATACTTTTGCCATAAAGGAAAGTATTGGGGCAATAGGTGATAACTGAGTGGGACCAAGGATTAAATGGTAGTGATATAAAAATGTTAATTTCCTGAATTTGATGGTTATCTTGAGAGTATGTAGGAGAACAACCTTGTTTGAAAAAATATAACTAAGAGTATTGCAATGTGAAAAGTCTCTGTACTAGGTGGAATTTTCTTTTAGTTTGTTGTTGTTCAGTCGCTCAGGCCTGTCCAACTCTTTTCAACCCCAAGACTGCAGCATACCAGGCTTCCCTGTCCTTCACTATCTCCCAGAGCTTGCTTAAACTAATGTCCATTGAGTCAGTGATGCCATCCAACCATCTCATACTCTGTCACCCGCTTCTCCTCCTGCCTTCAACCTTTCCCAGCATCAGTGTTTTCCAATGAGTCGGCTCTTCAGATCAGGTGGCCAAAGTATTGGAGCTTCAGCTTCAGCATCAATCTTTCCAATGAGTATTCAGGGTTGATTTCCTTTAGGATTGACTGGTTGAATCTTTAGTTTGTAATTGTTTCAAAAATTTTTTTAATTATTAAAAAAACACAACTATACCCCTAGCACCTAGCACAGGCATGGCATTCCAAGGGCTCAGTAAATATTTGTTGAAGAATTAATGAACTATATAAACAACAACAACAAATACATGCTTAGAAACAGACATCCAAATATTAGCAGTGGTTTCTTGACAGTTATGAGTTTATTATAGATTATTTGGGTGTATTTTTTATTTTGTGCTTCTCTGTTTCTTAAATTTTCTGAATCAAACATGTTTTCAGTTCAGTTCAGTTCAGTTCAGCCGCTCAGTCATGTCCGACTCTTTGCAATCCCATGAATCGCAGCACGCCAGGCCTCCCTGTCCATCACAAACTCCCGGAGTTTACTCAAACTCATGCCCATCGAGTCAGTGATGCCATCCAGCCATCTCATCCTCTGTCGTCCCCTTCTCCTCCTGCCTTCAATCCTTCACCAGCTTGAGCAAGTTACGTAACTTCTCTGTGACTCAATTCATCAATAAAGTGGTGATATTTTGAAATAAGGTACATGCCTCATAGGGTTGTGGTAATTAAAAGAACAAATATATGGAAAGGGCTTAGAAATATGTGGCACGTGACAAGGATTCTAAAAGTATTGTTTTTTTTAGTGTAGTTAAAGGAGGAAACAGACAGAGCTGGACTCCATCTGAGGCCAGGCTGTGAACATTAGGCTACACACATGGTCACCCTCCCAATGGACTCTCAACTTTGTGCCCGGTGTCTATAGAAATGGCACACCAGTGGAAAACCAGACACCGCCCCCCCCCAATAAAAGAGCCTCAGGACTTGGACTTGGACTCTCCGTTGCCTAAGAGAATATGCTAATTATCTCTGTAACAGAACAAAGTGGTAGATTCCATTATGTTTATCGGATATGACCACAGGCCTATTGATAAATATCCACTGTTTATCTAATCTTGTGACACATGAATCATGGGTTAACTTTGATCGAATCTCTTTTACCTTGTCCAGACTAGTGTCAAGAAATTTGGGGAGGTGGGTTTGAGCAAGTACACTTAGGGTATATGAAGTTTTCACAAAAACTGGTCGGGGTCCTTGGCCAAGAGGAGACTGCCTTGGGCCCCGCCGGTGTAATAAACTGCACTCCACTATCTGCATTGTCCTTCTGAGTGAGTTTGTTTCCCAGAACGCGTGGCTACAACATAGTCAAAGTTAATGCTGACTCATTTTAGGTGCCACTTCAAAGAAAAACTTATTTGCATTGACTTCTGGAGATGAAATGAGAAAAAGGAATTATTCTTACTTTGATAAGTAATATGCACTATTTACATATCAAGTCATCCACATAATAAAGGATGCTCAGTCCATAGAAGTTACAGATCAAGCAGTAAGGTGCTTTCCGGTTTTCTCCTCACAGCCACTCTCTTTGATAAACAACAAGGCCTTCTGTATAGCACAGAAAAAGTATGTTCAATATCCTATGTGTGTATACATGTTACAGCCATGCTTTCCAGGAAACAAACTCACTCAGAAGGACAATACAGATAGTGGAGTGCAGTTTATTACACCGGTGGGCCCAAGACAGAGTCTCCTCTTAGCCAAGGACCCCGACCAGTTTTTGTGAAAACCTCATATACCCTAAGTGTACTTGCTCAAACCCACCTCCCCAAATTCCTGACACTAGTCTGGCCAAGGTAAAAGAGAGATTCGATCAAAGTTAACCTATGATTCATGTGTCACAAGACTAGATAAACAGTGGATATTTATCAATAGGCCTATGGTCATATCCCAGTAAACATAATGGAATCTACCACTTTGTTCAGTTACAGAGATAATTAGCATATCCTTTTAGGCAATGGAGAGTCCAAGTACAGGTCCTGAGGCTCTTTTATCTGGGGCCGGGGTCTGGTTTTCCATTGGTATGCCATTTCAATAGACACTGAGCACAAAGTTCTGAGTCCATTGGGAGGGTGACCATGTGTGTAGCCTAATGTTCACAGCCTGGCCTCAGATGGAGTCCAGCTCTGTCTGTTTCCACCTTCATACACAGACATATATATATATATGGGCTTCCCTTGTGGCTCAGCTGGTAAAGAATCCACCTGCAATACAGGAGATCTGGGTTCCATCCCAGGGTTGGGAAGATCCCCTGGAGAAGGGAAAGGCTACCCACTCCTGTATTCTGGCCTGGAGAATTCCATGGACTATACTGTATAGTCCATGGGTCGCACAGGTGTAACAGCACAGGAAAAATATATTCAATATCCTGTGTGTGTATACACAGACATATATAATATATATATTTAAAAAGAAAAAAAAACACTTCAGCAGGTATCTTTATCCTCATTTTACCTATGAGGAAATTGGAGTTCACAAATGCCAAAAGACTTGCCCAAGGCCAAGCTTCCTTTGGGCATTGATTTGCAAATATTTATAATCCTTTTTCTGGTGTGCCTACCTCAGATCCCCAAGGAACATCCTGTTCCCTTTCCTTCAGTGAATATTCAAGAGAGCCTGGGGGCTGGATGTTTGTCATCCATTCTCTCAGCAAGCCCCAGCCAACTCCTTCTGACTTCCTCTGGTGACCCTGGCTCTTCGCCTGGAATCCCATTTGACTCTTCCCAGAGTTCCTCACATCCGACAGATTCCCCCCTCCTCCGAAATCTGTCTTGACTCTACCCCTCCCTTCCATCCCAGTTGCCACCACTCACTCTGGTTCAGGTCTGATAACCTTCCGGAGGGACTCATCTTCTAAGGAGACTCGCAGGTGACTTCCACATCTTTCCTCTCCAGTTTCTTCTGCAGTGCTGCGCAATCACAGCTGTAATCTCCCCAAATCACGGCTCTAATCTTGTCACTCCCTACCTCTCAAACCTACAGGGGCTCCCTCTGCCAGTGTTACAGCCACGCTTTCCAGGAAACAAACTCACTCAGAAGGACAATGCAGATAGTGGAGTGCAGTTTATTACACCGGCAGTCCCAAGGCAGAGTCTCCTCTTAGCCAAGGACCCCGACCAGCATCTGTGAAAGTTTTTTATACCCCATGTGTACGTGTCCGAACCCACCGCCCCAAAGTCCTTGAGACTTACAAAGGAAGGGTAAATACAATCACAATAACCCCATCATTCACGTGTTACATGATCAAACAGTTAATAATAAGCCCGCGGTTACATTTCAACCAGTTAATAACCAATAAACCTGTGGTTACATTCCGACAGATACTGTCCAGAGGCAGGGGTGATTACTGTTATGTTTTTTCTTAGGCGATGAGTAACCTGAATACGATCTTCAAGGTTCCCCTGTCCAGAGGGGGTCTTATCCTTCCATTGTCGCTCCCATAGGCACTAAGCAGAGAGTTCAGAGTCCACTGGAAAGGCAGCCGAGCACAATCAGCTCGGACAGGCCTGAGATGGAGTCCTGGCCCTATGAAGTCCTTCTTCACCAGCTCCTTACCCTTGACATTTGATCTGGACATGGAACAACAGACTGGTTCCAAATAGGAAAAGGAGTACATCAAGGCTGTATATTGTCACCCTGCTTATTTAACTTATATGCAGAGTACATCATGAGAAACACTGGGCTGGAGGAAGCACAAGCTGGAATCAAGATTGCTGGGAGAAATATCAATAACCTCAGATATGCAGATGACACCACCCTTATGGCAGAAAGTGAACAGGAACTAAAAAGCCTCTTGATGAAAGTGAAAGAAAAGAGTGAAAAAGTTGGCTTAAAGCTCAACATTCAGACAACTAAGATCATGGCATCCGGTCCCACCACTTCATGGCAAATAGATGGGGAAACAGTGGAAACAGTGTCAGACTTTATTTTTGGGGGCTCCAAAATCACGGCAGATGGTGACTGCAGCCATGAAATTAAAAGACGCTTACTCTTTGGAAGGAAAGTTATGACCAACCTAGATAGCATATTAAAAAGCAGAGACATTACTTTGCCAACAAAGGTCCATCTAGTCAAGGCTATGGTTTCTCCAGTGGTCATGTATGGATGTGAGAGCTGGACTGTGAAGAAAGCTGAGCGCTGAAGAATTGATGCTTTTGAACTGTGGTGTTGGAGAAGACTCTTGAGAGTCCCTTGGACTGCAAGGAGATCCAACCAGTCCAACCTAAAGGAGATCAGTCCTGGCTGTTCATTAGAAGGACTGATGCTGAAGCTAACACTCCAGTACTTTGGCCACCTCATGCAGAGTTGACTCACTGGAAAAGACCCTGATGCTGGAAGGGATTGAGGGTAGGAGGAGAAGGGGACGACAGAGGATGAGATGGCTGGATGGCATCACCGACTCGATGGACATGAGTTTGAGTAAACTCCGGTAGTTGGTGATGGACAGGGAGGCCTGCTTGCTGCGATTCATGGGGTAGCAAAGAGTCGGGCACGACTGAGGACTGAACTGAACTGAACCTGCAAGTTTAGCTTCCAAGACTCCCCTCCCATTCAGCCAAAATGAATGCTTCACTACTCCCTGAACAGGCTTCCAGTCAGATGGTTGGTTCAGCTTAGAATTTCTGTTTTCTCTTCCAGGCAGCTCAAGCTTCATGAAGCTGTCCTTTATTCTGACTTACACTAAGTTCCCTCCTTACTCTGATCACCTCTTCCCACTCACACCCTTTCTTATATAAAATTCTTGAGAGGCAGAATCCTACCTTACTTGTTATTTGTTGAAATGCTTTCACACATGGCTACAAATGATTAGCCCCACAGTCTATTTTCTAAGGGGTCTAGCAACTCACAGGGCCCTGGGTTAACATGGCACATGGTGTGCCAGGTCTGCTCGTGGCAACAACCAAGCCGGGCCCATTTGAACCCAGTTCTCCTCACAAAACTCACTTGTATATAGAGAACATAACTGTAGCTAGTTGCCAAGGGGAAGGGGAGTGAGGGAGGCATGGAGTAGGAGGTTGCGGCTCACAGAATATATGTAGAATGAATAAAGAAGGTCTTACTGTATAGCACAGGAACTGTAGACAATATCACATAACAAACCATAATGGAAAAGGAATATATATATATGTATATATGTATATATACATATATATATAATTGAATCACTTTGCTGTACACCAGAAACTAACACAATATTGTAAATCAACTATATTTCAATTACAATAAAGATAAACCAAATCTGAAAAACAAGCAAACTGCCATTTCTGGTCAAGGGCCCTACACGGGCTTCCATTTTCCCTCTTCTATGTCAGCTGATGGCTGTCTGCTGATACCTGGAGCAGGCACAGCACAGAGAGACCATTCTAGAAATATTAATTGCATAAACAAACTTTCCACTAGAGAGAACATCAGAACGTTAGATCTACTTCCTTGTTTCAGCAGAAGAAATCAAGGCACAGAAAGGGAAGACACTTCCCCAAGGTCACACAGCAAGAAGGAAATAAAACTTGATCTACAGCGGAAGCTCCCGGACTAAAGCTGAGGGCACGCTCTTCTGCACCTTGGAGCCACGCAGACCTACGGTCAGCAGTCTCAGCTACCAGAGGACACAACCGAACACGTCACCACCAGTTCACCACCGGTTCCTTTTTCCTCTCATCTCAGAGCCTCCTTCGCCCTTTCCACAACACACTCTTTCCTCCTCCGTAAGTTTAAAGGAGGAGGTCTCAAGCGGCGAGAGCACTTTCCTGGGCTGGATTAACCAGGTTGGACACAGAAAATACCCGGTGCTGGGTGGGGTACCCACCGCTTGGGAAGAGGTAGCCAAGGCGTTCGCCGAGTTTCAACTCGCCTCCGGCCCCGCCAGACACGACCCGACCCGTCCCGACCCGTCCCGACCCGACCCGGCCGGCCCTGCCCGGCCCGGCCCGGCCCGGTCCAGCCCAAAAGCGCGCCTGTCCCCGCCCCAAACATGCTTGGCCCCGCCCCCAAGAACCTATGGTCCCACCCAAAAGGGCGGAGCCCAAAGAAGTCAGCCGCCGATTCGCTGCCTTTTATCCAGGCCTGGGCGGAGCCGAGCCCCAACCCCGCCCCCCTAAGGTCCACCCTTATTGGTATAGACCGTCAGAAGACGCGCCCAATGAGAAAAGAGGGGCGGCCGCCATCTCCCTATCCGCTGCGTCAACGCGAGAGTGGACGCAACTAAGTGGCAGACGCTATCCTTCCGTCTTTCCGGGTCTTCCTAGCTTCGACCCCCGATTCTGTGGACGCTGGGCCGGAGGGAGAGCCAGAAAAAAATCCTCTGATCGAGTAAGTCTGCGTTGGCTGGAGTACTGTTGGCGTCGGTTCGGGGGCCGCTGCTGCTCCTCTGATTGAGCTCGGGGTGAGATAGGAGGTGGGGGGGCAAGGCCCGAGAAAAGGGGCGGGGAGAAGGATCCGAACACATGGAATGCCGGCCTGACCCCGGCGCGGGTAGGGGGCTGGGCGGGCGAACTCTGGTTGAGTGGAGTCTATGGGCGCTTGGAGCTCGCTTGTCCTGTTCGATTTACAGCCGTAGAGACGGGAGAGGAAGGCCCTGAGGATCGCCGTTCTGTGTCTGCCCCGATGGAGCGTTCTTTCTAAATTGTGATGTCAAGGTGCCACCCGACAGCTGCCAGTGGCTGGACTGCGGGCCCTTGGTGGCGGTTTTGCCTGGAAGTTCAGATTGTGGTTGACTTTCAGACAGGTCAGCATAGCAGTTAAGGCAACCACCTACAGTACTAGGCACTACCAACTGCTTTATAAGCATTATCGAAGCTTTCCGCACACTAACCCCATGAGGTCGGTGGTAGTACCTCTGTTGGACGCAAAATGAGCCCTAGTGAGACTGTTATTTACCCGAGGTCACTAGCAAGCTGTGGGGCCACGGGATGAACCCACGCTTCCCGAAGTTAACCTCCGCACCGAGGTGCCTTAGCGATGAAGCTAGCGCTCGCGGTGTCCAAGAAGCCTCGCCGTCTCCCCGTTTGACCTCAGAAACCATGACTCCCCCGCCCCCTTTCCCCTGGACGGACATGGGGTGATCCACAGACCTTGTCCTGTGAATCCAGCAGCTCGAAGGAAAGAAAACTGAGGCCACAGCTTCCAAGAGGAAACAAAATTCCAAAACCCCAAACTCTAGTTTTAAATAATCGTAGAGATCGCAGTTGAAGTGGTGTCCTGAGGCAGACCAGCAGGAATAGAATCCCTTCCCCAATCCCCAACCCCACCCCATTGTGTCTTTCTGAGTACCATATTTAGCCTTCAAAGCCTTGATTTCCTTCATTTGTGGGGTGGTTTTAAATACTACGTAGGGTGGGCATGGCAAGCCCCCTGTAAACATCATTTTATGTGGGGCTTTTCAAGCCAGTGGCGGTAGCGTTTCCCACGCTGCAGTCCAGTAACCTCTATAATCTTAACTCAGCTGTCGCTGGATATTTAGGATGTGTCTCATTTATAAACATCAAGTACTTTTGTAGCAGGAAAATGTTTGTTTGTTTGGGCTTCCCTAGTGGCTCAGCTGGTAAAGAAGCCACCTGCAATGCGGGAGACCTGAATTCGATCCCTGGGTTTGGAAGATCCCCTGGAAAAGGGTAGGGCCACCCACTCCAGTATTCTGGAGAATTCCATGGTCTGTATAGTCCATGGGGTCGCAAAGAGTCGGATACGACTGAGCGACTTTCACTTGGATATAATTCGCCTTTTTATAGTGCACATTTCGGCAGGTTTTGTAGAATATTTCCAAGGTCGTGTGACCGTCTTGCGCGTGTGTGTGCCGCGTCAGTCGCTAAATGGTGTCTTACTCTTTGCGACCCTGTAGACTGTAGCCCACCAGGCTCTGCTGCCCATGGGATTCTCCAGGTAAGAATACTGGAGTGGGTTGCCATGCCCTTCTCCAGGGGACCTTCCAGAACCAGGGATAAAACCCGCGTCTCTTTCGTCTCTTATGACTCCTGCATTCATAGATAGGTTATTTACCACTAGCGCCGCCTAGGAAGCCCCGTGACCATCTTATTCCAGGATACTTTCATCACTCCCCAAGGAAGCCACTGCGGGCCATGTGCTGGGTCGGACAGGGCAGTGAGCCTCGGCTCCGTGCTGAATTTCGGCAGGATTGGGCCCACCTTGCACAGAGGCCGGGAGAGAGGCTGCCTGGTTAGGTCTGAGATTCCCGGGCCTGGCCTTTTCCGGGCTGCACCTTCGGGATTTGGGGGAGAGGTAGGAAGCGGTACCCGGAAACCGCGCAGCTCAAACCCGGAGCAGTTTGGTGATTTGTGCGAATCTTTGGCGCGCATGTGCAAAAGGTACCAGGCTCCCAGTCAGAGCCAACTTGCCAACGAGAGAGCTTCACAAAAGACCCAAGCTTTGAAGCGGGGCCTGAAAACCGCCAAAGCGTGTGCCGACCTTCAGGATTGTCTGCATGCCACAGCAGTGTGTGGAAGGAACCATAAACGAAACGGAATGACCTCACAGTGACATCATCATCAAGAAATGGAGTTGCCAAACTGCTACCTGAAGTAGAAAGGATACATCAGCACACCCTTCCGCCGGACGTGTTATTTCCTGATGAACCCAGTTATAAAGAGCTACAGTGGATGCTGTACAGACAGCCCTCATCTGGAGGAAACGGTTGGCAGTTGGAAAAGCAGAAAGTAAAGGATATGAAGACTGTATTTTCAGAATTTATCATTATTGAAATGCTTTTTCTCAGCAAAGCTTCAGAGGTATACACTGCTGCCTACCAAAATATACAAAAGATTGATGAGAAGCTCTGAGGTTTTCAGAAGCTCTAGGTATTCACCCGGCTATCCATCTCACATATATTGTAAGAGGACATTCACAGAGTCCTTTTCAGAGATTGCTCAGCTCACTGTCTGTCTGGAACAGGACAAGTGTCCACCAGTGGACTAAGAGAGGATCAATAAGAAGATGAATTAGATATTACAGAAGAAGGAAACTAACTTTCCTTAGTACACATTTCATTTTTATCTTAATGTGACTCAGATTTCAGGATTGCTGAATTAATAGAACTTTATTCTGGTTTGCTCTGCTAAACATCAAAATGGAATGCTGCTGAAAATAGGGGGGAAATTAAAGGATTATTTATGCTGACCCAAAATGAAGGTTTTAAAATATATTACACACCCAGTCATTTCACTTCCTACTTAGTCAACTTCCTTCCCAGTGATATATGGTCTTTTTGTATAACTCTCACACTTTTTTTTTTTTAAGATTATAGGCTTCAAAGTATTTCATATTAATGTACTGTGCCTGGTTGGGAGTCCCGTAGTAAGTAAATATAAACTTTAACTGAATCATTAAGTTCCATCATTTGATCTGTAAATTTACCTTTCAACAAGTGTATAATCAAGCAGAATAAACGAAATATGATGCCAGTTTATCCATATTTTACAAATGCACAAAGCATAAATTTTAAAGTCATACTCAGTTTTATTCTGACTTTAAAACAAGTAAAACTGCTGTCATGCTCATAGAGAATAGGCTTGTGGTTGCTAAGGGGGAGGCGGATTGGAGGGGTGGAGTGGGAGGTTAAGGTTCTTGGATGTGAGCTATTACATGTAGAATGGATGGATAAACAAGGTCCTACTGCACAGAACAGAGAACTGTGTTCAATATCCTGTGATAAACCTTATTGGAAATGAATACTTTAAAAAAGAGAGTGTATGTGTGTGTGTGTGTGTGTGTGTGTGTATAACTGAACACTCTTCTGTTCAGCAGAAATTAACACATTGTAAATCAATTGTAATTTAAAACATTTTTTAACTGCTGTCATACTCAAGTATTATATATGGTACTAGTAATTTGTTGGAATGTTGCCTAAGAAGACATAAACAAGAACACATGGAACATCATAAATCATTTAAAATTCTATAAAAATTTTTCAAAACTACCACCTAGATAATAAAAAGATGTAATAGTTATTCTTGGAAGCATGAAACAGTTTAATCAGAGTCTTTATCAACTCATCTGGGGATAACTGGAAAAAGCAGTTATTCATAACAGAAAAACAGGCTTTCAAGAAGCTTTAAAAAAAAAAGAGGACCTGGCCCTTTTATGCTCCCCATACTCTGTACCCCTCCTCCTTCAGCCCCTGAAAATCCACTTCTCTCTTTCTGCCTCAATGAATGTGCCTATTTTGAAGATTTCATATACATCAAATAAATCACACTGTATGTAGCTTTTTGTGTCCCACTTCTTTCACTTAGCATAGTATTTTCAAGGTTCATCCATGATGTAGCTACCATCAATAGTACATTCTTTTTATGCCTGAATAACAGTCTGTTGTATGGATGTGCTATATTTTTACTGATCCATCAGTTGATAGAAACTTTTATTATTTATTATTTACACTTTGGGACAATTATGAATCATACTGCTGTGAACATTACTGTCCAGATCTTTATATGGCCATATATTTTCATTTCTGCTGGATTTTGTTAAGTCATATGGTAACTCTGTGTGGAATCTTTTGAGGAATTGCCAAACTGTTTTCCATAGTGACTGCAGTGTTTTACATTCCCACCAGAAGTTTCTTCACATCTTCACCAATACTTTTCTTTTTCTCTTTTTATAGCCATCCTGAGAGGGATAAAGTGGTATCTTATTGTGGTTTTGATTTGCATCTACCTAATGACTAATGACCAACCTAGATAGCATATTAAAAAGCAGAGACATTACTTTGCCAACAAAGGTCCGTCTAGTCAAGGCTATGGTTTTTCCATTGGTCTTGTATGGATGTGAGAGTTGGATGGTGAAGAAAGCTGAGCGCCGAAAAATTGATGCTTTTGAACTATGGTATTGGAGAAGACTCTTGAGAGTCCCTTGGACTGCAAGGAGATCCAACCAGTCCATCGTAAAGGAGATCAGTCCTGGGTGTCCAGATCATTGGAAGTTCTGATGCTGAAGCTGAAACTCCAATACTTTGGCCACCTCATGGGAAGAGTTGACTCATTGGAAAAGACCCTGATGCTGGGAGGGATTAGGGGCAGGGGGAGAAGGGGATGACAGAGATGAGATGGCTGGATGGCATCACCGACTCGGGCATGAGTTTGAGTGAACTCCGGAAATTGGTGATAGACAGGGAGGGCTGGCGTGCTGCGATTTATGGGGTCGCAAAGAGTTGGACACGACTGAGCTATTGAACTGAACTGAATGACTAATGAGGGCTTTCCTGGTGACTCAGATGGTAAAGAATCAGCCTGCAATGCGGGAGACCTGGATTCAATCCCTGGGTTGGGAAGATCCCCTGGAGGAGGGCATGGCAACCCACTCCAGTATTCCTGCCTAGAGAGTCCCCATGGACAGAGGTTCCTGGTGGGCTACAGTCCTCTGGGGTCGCAGTCTCACTTGACTGAGTGACTAAGCACACAGCACAGTGACTAATGATGCTGAGCTTCTTTTCATGTTCTTTTTTTTTTTTAATTTATTTATTTATTTTATTTTTTTTATCACAACCATAGTGTATCTTTTTTTTTTTTTTTTTTACATGTATTCCCCATCCCGGTCCCCCCTCCCACCTCCCTCTCCACCCAATCCCTCTGGGTCTTCCCAGTGCACCAGGCCCGAGCACTTGTCTCATGCACCCAACCTGGGCTGGTGAACTGTTTCACCCTAGATAATATACGTGTTTCAATGCTGTTCTCTCTTTTCATGTTCTAAGTGGCTGTTTAACCACATTCTAAGTGGTATATGTTTGAAGAATTGTCTTCAGATTTTTTTCCTTATTTTTAATTCAGTTATTTTTTTCTTGTTGAATTGTATATATATTCTGGATACTAGATCCTTATCAAATACATGATTTAAAAATACTTTCTCCCATTCTGTGGGTTGTCTTTTCACTTTCTTGATAGTGTTCTTAGCGCAAAAGTTCTTACTTTTGATGAAGTCTAGTTAAGCTATTTTTTCTTGTGCTTTGGGTGTCATACTTAAGAAAATGTTGCTTGTTCAAAGTTCATGATGATTTATGCCTTTGTTTTCTTCCAAAAGTTTTATAGTCCGAGAGCTTAGACCCATTCAAGTTAATTTTATACATGGCGTGAAATAGGAATCAGATTCATTCTTCTGCAGGTGACTCTCCAGAGCTTTGGGCAGTTGAAAGATTTTTATCTGCCGCCACCTCCCACCCCTGTACGGTCTTGGCACCTTCGTCAAAAATCAGTTGTCAGGACTTCCATGGTGGTCCAATAGTTGGGAATCCACCTGCCAGTGTGGGGTACATGGGTTCGATCCCTGGTCCAGGAGGATTCCACATGCTGTAGGGCACCTGAGCGTGGGTGCCACAACTACTGTACCTGCGTCCTGGAGCCCGTGTGCCACAGCTACTGAGCCCACGAGCCACAACTCCTAGAGTCCGTGTGCCCTACAGCTTGTGCTCTGCAACAAGAGAAGCCCCCACAATGAGAAACCCACGCTCTGCAACTAGAGAGTAGCCCCCATTTGAGGCAACTAGAGGAAAGCCCATGCTCAGCATCAAAGACCCAGTGCAGCTAAAAATAAATAGATAAGTTTCTTTAAAAAATTAATAGGCATAAATATATGGATTTATTTCTGGATATTATTTCATCCATAAATATACAGATGTATATATTTATACATCCATAAATATATGTATTTATGTATTTATTTCTGGATTTCTTTCTTTATTTCCCAGTCCTACTCCCCTGATTTATGTTGCTGTCCTTGTGCCAGTACCTGTGTCTTGATTACTGTAGCACTGAAATTGGGAAGTGTGAGTCCTCCACTTTGCTCTCTTTCAAGATTATTTTCACTCTTCTGTGTCCCTTACATTTCCATGTGAATTTCAGGCTCAACTTAGTAACTTCTCCAAAGATGGCAGTTGGAATTTTGATAGCGGTATATTAAATCTGTCCATCAGTTTGTAGACCATCTTAAGTCTTCCAATCCATGACATGGTTGTCTTCTCGTTTATTTAGGTCCTCTTTAATTTCTTTCAACAATGTCTTGTAGTTTCAATGTACGGAGTTGTGCAGTCATTAAATTTATCACTAAGTACTTTATTCTTTTGATGCTATTGTAAACGGATTTGTATTCACTTCATTTTCAGATTATTCACTACTCGTGTAGAAGTACAGTTATTTTGCATCCTTCAGTCTCGCTTAACTCATTTCTTAGCTCCAATAGTTTTTGTGCATATGTGTATATGTGAATTCTTTAGGATTTTCTTTATGTATAACATCATGTCATCTACACATATAAGTAGTTTTACTTCTTCCTTTCCTGTTTGGATTCCTTTTATTTCTTTTTCTTGCCTAATTGTTCCTGGCTAGAACTTTCAGGACAGTGCTAAATGGAAATGATAAGAACAGACATTTTTGTATTATTCCTGATCTTAGGAGAAAAGCTTGCGATCTTTTACCATTATGATGTTAGCTGCAGGTGTTTTGTCAATGCCATTTATCAAGTTGTGGAAGTTACCTTCTCTGCCTAGTTTTTGT